CTGTTATACTAAGTGAAGTAACACAATCTCAGAAAAAAAAATCGACATATGTTCTCCCTCATATGTGGATCCTAGGATCAGACTCTGATAAATAAGTATGCAAACAGACATAACTCCAGGAACCAGGACAAGGGTAAGGAAACAGTGAGGTAAAGGAAAAGAAATAACCTGAAGGAGAATAGTAGGTGACAGGCCTTAATAAGTGAGATATGGATAAAAATTGGGTTAGTCTAAGGGACCGGGTAGGAACCTAGGGCTGAGGAACCTAGGGGATAAGGAGAAAGAAGAAGCTCAACAGAGGTAGGATCACAGGAGCAAGGGTATTAGTAAGGAAGAAAGGGGGGGAAGTGCAGGCACCTTAAGTGGGAAACGATGATAGAGGGGGGAGACGATACAAGAGAGAAACAATGCCTAGCTAGTCACGAAAACCAGAGGGAACCATATTATTCCTACAATCTACTGACAAATTATACATAATAGATCAAGAAAAATATCTCTAGATAAGGTTTATTTGAGACCAACTGGTCATTACCCAAGATTTATCTGCAAGACACACAGTAATTAAAAATGCCAGAATGGTGGAACTAACCTTCTTGGATGTTTAACAGACATCCTTGAGATCTATACTAATTGGGTCAGAGGGATTCAAAGGACACTTTTTGCTCCTTGCCCTCCTAGGTCGATTAGTTCCCAGGGACTATGAGCATCACGCGAAACGTCCTGTAAAGGTAGTGAGGTCATCTGGCCTCTTGATCAAGGAAGCTGAGGAGACCCCACCAGATGTACTTGAGCCAGTGTCCAGTCTATAAAGAGTAGTGTCAACACGGAGGTATCATTTCCTCCATGCTTCCAAGAGAAGCCAATAATGGTCGAGCAGGACCTTTGACTTATCTTCACATGGATGGAACTGGTACAAGAAAGGAGGCAGGGGCTCCTCCCAAGCCCATGGGACCCCTGAGGTACAGATCCTCAAACGACCTCAAGAGTAAAAACAAATCAGTTTATCTGGTCCAATTGTATGTCCTTAAACACCCAAAAGGGAAGTATAACCAAAGATTAAAGGGGCCAATATAATTTCATAACAGCATACATATATATAACTAAAAGTTACTTTACAAACAGCAAAGCCAGACAGGCGATACCTTCATTCGAGTTGTTGGCCAGGATAGATAAAGTCTCTTCCAGACAGTAACCCAACATACTACTGGAAAAATGAACAGCAGACCCCAATTCTATCCAAAGGAATACTGACAATGGATTGCTGTAGATGGACCTTTTAAACGTTGGAACCTCATTTAATTTTATGTCTTATAGAGTTTATAATGAGTAAAAGATTGTATAAGTGTAATAATTCATCTGTAAACCTAAAAATGTACAGCCAATTTTGAAAGAGATGTACCCTAGCTCAGAAAAATGTTATTGAATAGGTTAATGCTGTTGTAATGAAATGTTTCTTCTAACTAAAAAAAAAAAAATGAAAATAAGCAAACAAAAATATAGTAGAATATACTGCAATGAAAGTTATTTTAAAACATGAATTATTTTTGGAAATTTCTATTTAATTCTTTCAGTCAACAGCTGACAAAATGTAATTTAAACCCTAAGAATTTAAACCCTAGCTAAGCGGACTATGTCAAGACCTTCTTGTCTATTTTAGAAACAGCACTACGATTTGATGTGAACAGCAGTTACAGACGCCCCATAGATAGGTATATGCATAATATATAATTAAACGCAAAGGACCTTAAAACAAATGTTTAAGTTTAAAAAGTATTTTCAAACTTTCTGTGTGATATTCAAAAGTGGGAAATTTTGTGACACTACGTCACAGTTGGGAAAGATGAAGAGTCGTCCTACCGGCCCGCGCTCTTTACTCCCTTCAAACACTGCTCCCATCCCTGCAACAAGGGCTTCTATCCACCACCATCCGAACTTGCTTCCTTGCCATGTTGCTGCCAACTTCGGCCTGACCAGCATACCCCTCTCTTAGATCGTTTTTATTCCATAAATCAATGTGCAATACTAGTTTCTATTATCTGATTCTGACTCTCCAACTAAGACTCTCATAACCTCCACAGACGAAACAATCATGCAGAAATGCTTCTCCTGGTTCCAACCCTCGACACTCCCAAGGCTACTTAGTGTCCACCATGAAGGATGGAACAGAACCCACCGCGAATGCCAACCTACATAAAGTCACCCAGTGCTTTACAAGCGATTGCATTTTGTTCATGAAAGCGTCTCAGCAAATACTCCAAACACAAAGAAGACATCGCGATAATGCAAGGATCAAATGTCACCTACATTGTTCATGTACTCGGACAGCAGGTCCTGGAGAGCCTGGCGAATAGCGTTGCACTCCGCGATGATCCGCTCTCGGTGGAAGTCTCTGGTGCAAGAAGAGTCGGCCAATAGTGCGGCCCCGCTGACGATGGCTTCTAGGCGTTTCTCCAGGGAGGGTCTTAACTCCTCTGTCACTGTGAGTGGGTTCAGGACAATTAAATTCTAAGAGAAGAACAGATTTGGATGGTTAGAGCTCCATGGAATTACATTTTAATAAAAAACAAACATCATTTGTTTTCATGCTTAGAATTCAAACGCATGAATCAGGAGAACTGTGCTGTTCCAGCCGCACCAGTTTTCACAGACTAAGAGGAGCAATTGTTCTGTGACTGATCAACGGTCCTGTGTTTATGAATGTGGGTTTTCCTGCCTGACAGTCCTGGATTCAAATCCTGCCCTTTGCTCTCACTAAGGTGTCTTTGTTCCCTGAGTCTCTCTTTTGTCTGTAAAGCTGCAATATTGAATGCTGCTTGAACCACAAAGCTGTCAGAAGAATAGTACAAACACTTAACACCATGACTGGCACACACTGTGAATCACACCCTAGTGGCATCTCCGAGCTGCACTAACAGTTTTTTCACATACACCATCTCGTTGCAGTACTCTGAGGAAGCAGGCAGCCCGGGTGTAATTAGCTACACTTTTCTGCTGATTCACGAGACTGAGAGGCTGTCTTACTCAGGGTCAAAGAGCAAATAAGCTGTTAAATTCAGACAAACAACCATCTTATAATTCACAATTCAATATCATTTTCGTTATGCCTCACCGTAAGTCATAAGCGCTAATTAACTTTACCATTACATACCAAAGAAAATTTTGGGTTCTAATTATTCATTTAAAAAGTAAAACTCAGCCGGGCGTGGTGGCACATGCCTTTAATCCCAGCACTCCTGTGGCAGAGGCAGGCGGATCTCTGTGAGTTCAAGGCCAGCCTGGTCTACATAGTGAGTTCCAGGACAGCTGGGGCTACAGGGACACCCTGTGTCAAAAAGACCAAAAAAAAAAAAAAAAAAAAAAAAAAAAAAAACACAAGGGCTGGGAAAGGGTGGTAAAAAAAATATAAAAAAAAAAAAAAAAAAAAAAAAAAAAAAAAAGTAAAACTCCAGGGCCTGGATAGGTGGTTCAACAATTAAGCACACCAACAGCTCTTGTAGAAAAGCTGGGTTTGGTTTCCAGAACCACATCAGATAACTCACAACTGCCTATAACTCCAGGTCCAGATGATCTGGTATCCTCTTCTGGACTCTGCAGGCACTGCACTCACATGCTCACACACATAAGCATACACATAATTAAAATAAAATCTTTTTTAAAGTAAAACTCTATCTTCTTGTTGATCTATTCTAACTTGAAGCAATCCCAAGATGTTGAAAAATGACATGGTATTTTTAAGGTTTATAAAGACACAATAAGTCTCTGGTAATAGAAGTCAAGATAATGCATATCTTCTAAGAAAAATTGGAGGGCATGCTGTTCTAAGGGCCCTTCATAATAATACTTTAGAGGAGAAAGGCTTTAAAGGCAAGGCCCAATGTGATCTTTGAAGAAAAAGTAAGCCTAAAATACAAGCTCTCTGAAGAAACTTTAGCAGAAAATAAAACCATACAATGATCTTCCAAGTATGACATCAGCAAGTGAGTGGATACACTGAGCCCATTATAGTCTCATAAGACATTGTATATAGGAATATGCATATTAATGCTGATATGCATTTGCAAGTATGCAAATATCTTATATAATGTGTGCATGAATATGCATGTTACTAGAGCTGTGTACATGTATACAGATATAAGTAAAATTCTACATTGATCATAGTGCTCTATTACGCTACGATAAACATCTCATGTAAGAAGTAGGCAGGACACGATTTTAAAAAGCAGTGAGAAAAGGTATTTGCTGCACAATTCTTGACCTGAGTTAGATTCTCAGAAGATACATGAAAGTAAAAAGAGAATGCTGATCTCCACACGTGTAGCATGTAGATCTCTCCCCACATGCAACACACACACATACACACACACACACACACACACATACAAAATTTAAGGCAAAGAGGCACATTTGGAGAGTCAAGCTTAAAAGAGAAAATCATTACAGAGACAAATATTTATAAGGCATTTGTTAAAAATGAATGCTTTGTAATGTTCACAAATTACAAAATATAATATAGATATAAATTAGCCTGTGGACCTGAGGTAATATTCATCAAATATCTTTAGAGAACTCAAAAGGAGTCTTCTTCCAGGTTCTATTTCTCAATTAGTCTCTTCATTTTTTCTTTTTTACTTGACCAAAAAAAATGAAAACAGAATGTGAAAGGAAATTAATTTCACAAAAGCTAAATTTCTCCTTTTTCCCTTGGTCTCCAGTCCGGGAACCCAGTCCATAGGCTACATCGCCTACATTCAACACTGCCTATACCCAAGTCTTCCCTCCTCAATTGAATCTCTCTGGGCACATGCCACAGATACACTCAGAGATGGGTCCCCTAAAGATTTGAAACCCAGTCACGTGACAATGATGACTAGACATCGATAAGGGAGCAATCCTGGAAGTTAAAGGTTTACACTAGGATAGAGGCCAGGGAAAAAGGGGAGAAGTGGGGAAAACAGGGCTAATGGGGGGAGAGGACAGGACTGATTAATCAAACCTACGGATATGTGGAAAAACCTTACAGAAATTCACAGTGTCTAAGCTTGCTAAAAACTTTGTATGTTTATTTTAGTGTTTAGAATTTCATATATGAGTTGGTATGATGGTGCCCCCTTTAATCCAAGCAATCAGGAGGCAGAGGCAGGCAGATCTCTGAGTTCAAGGCCAGCCTGGTCTACACAGTAAGTTCTAGACCATCTGGGGCTACAAGAGATTCTGTCCCAAAAAGACAAAAAACAAAAAAAAGAATTTTATACATGAGTATTGTCTTTGCATTATTTCTATCCCTATCAGTCCCCCTCAACTCCTCCTATGCCCCCACATGCCTCAATTTCTTGTCCTCATTATTATCATTACATATACATACATAGATACATATATATGTATACACAACACACACACATATATATGTGTGTATATATATATATGTGTGTGTGTGTGTACTGAGTTCATTTAATGGTGTTTGTGTGTACCTCTGTTTAGGACTGCCCTCTTGGGGAGCTAGTCCCCTGAGAAAATTGATTCTCCCTCCTTCAGCATCCATTGAGTGTCTGTAGTTCTTTATCTTGAGTATGACTCTGTGAAATTTCCCTCACCCATCTCGGCTTGTCAACTGGTTTTGTCATAGCTTATTAAAAATTTAATTTTAAGAGAAAGCTTGAACAGAGATATCATGCATGGGTAGATAATACCCCAGAAGACATGGGTTATTAAAATCTTAGAAGCTGGAGAGATGGTTCAGTGGTTAAGAGCACTGGCTGTTCTTGCAGAGGACCCAGGTTCATTTCCCAGTCCCCACATGATGGCTAACAACTGTGCACAACTCCAATTCCCAGGTGGACGCCCTTTTCTGACCTCCATAGGCATTTCACAACATGGGTACACTTAAATACTCATACACATAACATTCAAATAAAAGAGAAAATCTCAGTGCCAGCCATGGAATACCTCCTTATGAGATTAGTCAGGGAGCTCCCCAAGTGCCCAAACAACACAGGTTAGCCATTGGTCTTGTTTGCCCACCGTAGCTAGATGGTAACGCTCTATTAATGAAGATACCACTCACTTTGGTTGCAGGAAGTAGAAAAATCAAGCTGGAACTGACCTAGAGATGTCCTCCTTACTGGCTAGCTTTCATAGCACTGGAAGATGCTGTGCAGGCCACTGGGAGAGAAACGTCCTCAATGGTCTTACCCAGTACTGGACCCTGCACATGGCAGGAACAACCTACCAGTCAAGATGTACCCACTGATGCAATAGTGGCATAACTTTTTCAGGGGTAACCAACTACTTTCTGCTGGGATTTAAGGTCTGTTCCAAATGAGGAAAATCATCCTTGGTACTATTAACCTATTTAAAAAATCTGTGGCTGGGGAGGTATGGGATGGGGGAGCCACCTGATGCTGTTTTGCTAAATGGATATGTTGTCACACTGCCTTCTAAATATTTTGCTCATACTCAGAGATCAGTGCTACACTACACTGAGTCAAAGAGGCTTCATGTCAAGTGGGCAGTAATCAATGCAGAGGCTTGCAGCTGATCTAAGCGTTAAGAATGACTGTTGAGAGCTCAGACCTAAATGGTACGTTTATATCAACACCTCCCTCCAAGGCTCAGAACACATGATGGAAGAGTGGGCAGAGAGGGCCAGAGGATGAGGAGGAATGTTATAAAAGGCTGTCCTTGGGACACGGCATGGCCATTGCACCCCCGAACTCACAGCAGCTGTGGTGACCTGCACAAGTTCAAGCCAGTCAACATTCCAGCATGGATGGGAAAGGGGTCATGAGGCTTCACCCTTAACATAGTAAATGATTGGCAATTGGCAGCTGCTGAGGGAGCAGGGGTGATTTTTCTTCCAATGTGCTGCAGCTATATCTGCCCTGGGGGATGGCCCCACACCTGTGGGCATGAACGAAGCACTGTTTGGCCTCAGTGGATTTCTTCAAAAGAAGACATAAGGTGAAAAGGGAAAGTATTGGAGGTGAGAGGGAAAATTTGGATTAGCTACAAGCAAGATACACTGCATACATGTATAAAATTGCCTAAGAAGAAATAAAAAATACTCTTTTCAAAAAAATCAGCAATCACATCTACCTCATCATTTCTTTGACCAATTCTGCCATGACTTTCTTTGGCTCATTAAGTTAGTACAAACTTTACACTCCCTGATTCACAACAACATTAAAACAAAGCATTTTTTAAAACAGCCCTCTAAGGTGGCATCTCCATTACGAAAAGACTCCAAAAACAACAGCATCACTATTCAACTGCTCAAGGGCGATGACAGGAACAGTTGATGTCTCTTACATTATGGTGACGGGAAAAAGAAAATCCCAAATCTGCACTTGCATAAATGTTGTAAGAACCTCCCTCCTCTCCAAACACCCCCACCAGTAATGTGATTTGGGTTTTGGTTTGTAGTACTGGGGTTTAAATCTAGGGTTTTACTCATGCCAGTCAAGCAGTCAGTCTACCACTGAACCATCTCCTCAGCCCTTCATGCAGCT